TTTCCAAACTGTCCCGGGAGGAAGTAAATCCTAATCATACTCTATCCATATTTATAAAGACAATCTACACTTGATTTATGCTAAGGTAACTTGCTGAGAAAAAATCATTGTCAATTGTTGAAACATTTTTGTAACCGGTTCTCGATGTCCAATTAGGCCACAAAGAAAGGAGGGCCAAGAATTGCTTGATGGTCAAGTACAATTGCTATGAGCCAAGAACAAGTACAAGGTATTCAGTAGGCATTGCTATGGAGACTCCCCTTACTGTGTTTTCCTGGGAACCAAAACTCCCCTTTGTTTTGGGAACCAAGCAGCTTCCATCTTCTCGGGAGTCTCCCCCCATTGCCCAGACCCTGTCATAAGACAGCATGAGTAGCGCAGCCTACGTCAGGTCCTTATCCCACCCAGGTAAAGTCCTGGCCTGGAGAGCATGAACTGCCCACATGTGACTCTCCTGGTGTACCCTGAGGGCCCAGGGTCTAGCCTCCGGGGGCCTGGGAAACACCCCCCCAGCCCCCCACACACACCCCACACACACACCCCACAAGCTGCTAGAGCTGCCGGTAGGTGAGCACCCCTGTGTAGCTGATGTTAGCCCGCTGTGCTGGCACGCTCTTCTGAGCAGCTACATTGCTCTTCTTCTTTATGTGCTTCTCCCTCGCTTACTTCATTTACCTTCTAGTGCCTTTCTCTGAGCTGTCTGGAAGCCTCTGCTTGAAGGCAGGATACCTTAACAAATGGTCAACTAAAACATCTTCAGAATGAGAAAATGTTAAGGACATGTCAGGTCCTTATTCCTGACCTGACCTCACTGCCACACAGTGAACTGGGGAAGAGAAAGAAATCAGCTGAATTCTAAGTATTCTTGTTTCTATTAATGTTTAACACTTTATCCCCAGACTTAGCAATTTTAAAACCATGGTATTTTGCTCAAGATCGTATGGGACAGGAATTCAAGCGGGGCTTGATCAGACAGCCCTTACGTGGACTCTCAAGCAGTTTCATCCAGATGGCCTGAAGCCTCAACAGGGAAGGATATAAAATTCACTGTCTCAACCATTTTAAAGTATACAGTGAAATATAGTGTTTTAAGTCTAGTGTATTCACACTGCTGGTGAAACTCCTGAACCGTTGTCATCCTTCCAAACTGTCTTGTGACTGAGCCTCAGAAGCTAGTTAGCAGGCCACTGCTGCTGGGGCCTTTTCCTGTGAACTGACTGAAAGCTGGAACCCCCCGGCTCTGGTTCCCTCAGTCCTTCTACGCTGAGGTTTCACTTTGGGTTGGGGGCGAAGAACCCTGTAGTTCTTCTCTGGTGCTTCTCCAAAAAAAATCTCTCAGTTCTGCAAACCACCCCAAACCTGCGCCAACTCTTACAGGCAGTAAACCCATCAGTCAGGCTGCTTCTGCTGCTGCCACTTCCTTCCTGTGCAGCAAGGAAGCACAGCATCTTTCTGCTGATCCTTTCACTCAAAACCTGCTAATAATACAGTCCGCTTGGTGATGTTTGGTTGTAGGGACTGGGGATGCCTTCCTGAGCAAACTCGCAGAAATCCTGTTCTCACTGAGCCTCCACTTGAGTGGGGGAAGGACTAGGGAGAAAACAGAGGGGGGTGTGTGCTGTGGGGAAGAGAAGTGAGCAGGACCAGGGGGCGGTCAGGGCAGTCCTCGCTCTGGGAGAGTGCCATTAAAGCTTTGTCCCAGAAAATGTCCTGACTTTAAACATGGCCTTCAGGTTGTTTGTGGCCTGAAGGAGATTTCTCTAGCCTACGTGCACAAAGTTCACCTCCCCTCCCCACCACAGCTATGCCATACACGACACGTAAGCCTGTCTCCACACTCTGGCCCGTCTCAGTGTGCACCCCCTCTCTGGACCACACCCAGCATGTACATACACTCTGCCTAACTCGAGACTGACCGGTGCGCCAGGACGTGTGGAGGCCAAGTACTTGGAGCTCCATGGAAAACTTGCAGAAGTTCTGTCCAGCTCCAACCTCAAACTCACCTCTAGCTGCAGCTCACTGGACCCTGAAGAGGCAGTTGGCGGTCACCCTCACAGGGGGCCAGAGAGGGGACTGTTCACCCATGTCCAAGGGTGTCACCCTGCCTTACCTGCCCATCAGGGTGTGATATTCTGCAGCAGAAACACTTGTTGCACGGGGCCTTTTCTTGAGACCTCACCTTCCTCTGTTGAGCCTCAAAAGGAGAGATGACTGGTTGGGTTTCCCTTTCATCAACTGACCGTAGATGAGCTGAGGGCTCATTTCCTGAGTGGGGATACTGTCCAGGGACACTCGGTGTGTGACAGGGACGAGGACAGATGGGTTCCTCGGGAGGAAGGGTGCTGATGAATTCTCAAAGCTGAGTCTGGAAGGAGACAATCTTTTGTCATATGACAACTTGGCCGACTGTGGGGTGCTCTTAGGAGTTGGGATTGTGATCTGGACCCCGTTCTCTGCCTGGGGAGCTGAAAGAGGGGCATCTCAGCTGGCTAAGCAAGAAAAGCGACACTTGACAACTTTCAGCTAAGGGTTCATAACACATGAGGAAGTTCAAACTAAGTGTGAAGATCATCTGATCATGACCAGGCCAACAAACACAGTCTGATGAATAAAGCTGTGTTGCGAACCTTCTGGAGGACTGGAGAGGGAGCAGTGGTGTACAGGAGTCTGCTTCTGTGAAGAGCAAATCTTACCCCTGCTTCCCAGGGGAGCTAAAGTCAAAAGATTGCACCCAACTCCCCAAATCTTGAAGCTCTAAGGGCTCAATGCTTCTGGAACACCCTGCAGCTGTTCTCCTGGGCCTACCTGTTCTCTTCTGGCCTCCCACCTCCCTCCCTGCTTCCCTCTGGACCTCAGAGCACCTGCTCATACTCTACCTCAGGGAGCCCCATTCCAGACATTCCCTTAACTCCCACTGCCATTCAGATGGGGGTTCTTAGAAGCTGTGTCACTAAGGAACAGCTTCGCAGCCAACACAGGCTAGCTCAGGATTTTGAATTCCGGTATCACTCCTGTATCTAAAAATTAACTGCTACTTAAAGCCTTATTCCTCAGAAAGTCTCCCAACAACTAGATGGATGAAGTGAACGGACAACACCCTGAAAATCAAAATGTCAACAAGGTAAAAAGCAATTTTACCATCCTTTAAATCAAAGACTAAACACAAAATGACACTGTATTCCTTGCGTCAACAAAAACATTCTGGAGCATGACTTCATTATGTCATTTGTTCCGAATTTGTTGCTATTGTGCCCAGAGGTCAGACTTTTCATTCTTCAGGTCAACGTGTTGACACTGCGCAAGATTTATTACAAGGAGCAATAAACATGATAATTGCGGAGACAAGTGTAAGACAGGAAGGGACCACACGGCTGCAGGAGGTCGCCCGCTGGGCCGGTGGCTCCGCCAGGCGGGGTCGGGGGCCCGAGGCTCGGCGTTGAGCGCGCGCGG